ATGCCAGGCTTCCCATTGCTCTTGTCCATGCTGAATGATGATGCTCGTAGACTATCTATCGGCACGGCCTCGCAGGTCCTGATCTTCACCATGTATTCCGAATACCTTATCTGGAAAAGCTCTGCTTTGCAACTCATAACCTCAGTGCCAAGCCCAGCTCTGAAATGCCTGCGGAAAATCCTATAGTCTGGTAATACTGCTTCCGCTGCTTCTCTGTGAGGGTTCGCTCCCAGTGCCGATCCTGGAGCCCATCCCATCTTCATCAAAAGAGCCCGTCCTTTATTGGTCTGCGGAAACTCCTCGTCCTCCTCGTTCTGCCTTCGGGTAAGAGCCGCTGCCACTCGCTCGCTTGCTTCATTCGGGTCCTTGATATTTTCCAAAGGTTTTTCGATCAGCAGCGCCATCTCACTTGGTAATCCCCATGCTGGATAAGCTCTGCGCTTGCATGTCTTTCTCAAATATCTTACACTTGCTTTTCTGTCTTCACGTACGTCCTCCATCAATTCTGCATCCACAAATCTCGCGTCGCCCTCGCCGTCATTGTCCACCTTCAAGCAGTACTCCTTCTTCACTTCCTCGTAGTTGATAACTTCTGATTTCAGCCCTCCATCTTTGCCATCTTTCTTCAACTCGCTTCCCCATTCCTGTGCTTCCATATCCGTACGATGTGAGTAGAAATCTCTTTGCCGCGGTCCACGTCCTGTACCACTGTATTGACAACGTAAGGCATGTAGTTCTGCAAAGGTGCGTTCTTCTGCTGCAATGCACATTGCCTCCACCAGCTCTGCTTTTCTGCGCGTATCCCGAATCTCTCGCTCGCTCTTCCGTGATCTCCTTTAGTTGGGCCTGAATCCGCTCAAGCTCCCCATCTCCCGCGCTGTTCCCCCTCGTATGTTTCAGACCCCTCCTTTTGTCAAGAAATTCCATTCGCAATTGAGTAGCCGCGACCATCCACTCTGGTTGAACTTCAATTCCTTGTGGAAAAAACTTCTTCCATCGCTTTGCTCGCAGAACCTCTGGGTAAGTCCCACATCTCATCTGGCGTGTGTCTGCTCGTTGCTTGCTGCCATCGCTCCTCCTCGATATTCTGCTGCAGCTGTTCGATCCTCTGAAATAGATCTTCTCGTCGAGTACCTTTTTGTAAACACTTCATCAACTCATTTCGGTCAACTCGCACTGGCCAGCGCTGCCCTCGTAGATCTGTGTTGCAATCGATAACCAATGCCACTGGAATATGATCTCGTGGTTCGCGATGCCGTATCGGTTGTAGACGTCGTCCAGCAACTGGTAAGGTTCGGCATTCTTTAACTGCTGCAGCTGCTCCATCTGGTATAATGATGTGGTCAATTCTGCTTTGCCCTTTCTCGCCAAAGTACGTGCTGCCCAGCTCGCGGACGAATGTCGTCTGAACCCGTAAATGCGTGCTCAAGCATGTGCGTCTAATCTCTTTGCCATTTCCATTTTCAAACTTCGGTTCACATCCTCCGATCGCCGTGCCTTTAGTAAACTCCACTGCCCCCGTAGGGCCTCTCGCCAAGCCAAAATCTGAATTACAATCTGCACACCAAATAATCGTCGTGATGCGTCCATGTCGATCACAAATATGCTCCACCCAAGAAGAAATGCGCTTCGCCAGCTCGTCGTTGGTCTTCTTTCCCACTGGGGCGTAGTAAGTTCCAATCAGAAGAATGTCCATCTTGCCAAGCTTCAGTCGTAGCGCTGCCGCTCTCCCTCGTAGTCCCAGCGGTGGGTGGTGTATCTGATTTAGACATGTCCTCGGCAGTTGGTTCGACAACAGGAAGCTGATACCACAACTGCTGTTGACCCAGCAACTCCTCCTCCATCCACAGCGAATTGCCCAATGATTTGGTAATTGCTGTATTGCTGCTGGGTGTTCCCAATCTGCTCGTCTCTTCGTGCCCGTCAGCGTGATCAGCTGCCACTTCTTCAGCTCCCTGCTGATGTCTTCGCACCGCTCCCCCCATGCATGTTGTGGATTGTACTGTACCACTCCCACCATAAATAAACGGAAGATGGTGAACACCTCGCCGAACCGCATCGCCACGCAGAAGCTCACCTGCGCAGCGCCGCCATCCCTCGCGGTGCCGTGTGTCGCGTCCCTCGGGGTTGGGAGTCCGACACCCTGAAAGATGCTGGCTCCTCCCGCCAGCTGACAATCAAGCCTGAAGCCTGGTACGCCAGCTGGCTGATCCAGGGGGGGGTGCGAGGGCCCGCACCGATCGGCAAAACAATGAATACAAGCACGATCACCTATCCAAGCCTGCTTCACGCCAAAAGGAGGACGGTCCTGATGCTCTCCGAATTCGGGGGCGCCCTGGGGCGGAGGAGGACAAGGAGGAGGAGGAGGAGGAGGAGGAGGAGGAGGAGGAGGAGGAGGAGGAGGAGGAGGAGGAGGAGGAGGAGGAGGGAGGAAAAGGAGGAGGAAAAGGAGGAGGAGCAGGAGGAGGACCCTTGGAGCTCCCGACCCCGTCCGCGGGACTGGCCTCCCGCGTCGCTCTCCGAGCTCGGGGGGGGGGGGGGGCGCCCCGGAGCGGGGGCCCCCCGCGGGGCCACCGGCCGGGCGCGGCGCTCGGGAGGGGCCGGGCGGGAGGGCCGGCAGCAGGGGGGCGCCCGGAGGGCGGGAGCGCCGAGCTCTGTACGCCCACGCGGGCGTCCGGCCCCGCAGGGAGAGTCGCACAGGGGAGCGGATCCTGGGGAAACGAAGGAACAGGTATACATGATACCAGAGAAAAACCCATCATAATCTCTTTAAGGATATGGGGCTATGGGGCTACTGTTTCCCTGGGAAATTCGCAGGCCCCGCAGGGAGATAAGCACAAGGGAGCGGATCCTGGCGTGTGCGGGCCTTTCTCCCCTCCCCTCCCCTCCTCCCGCTTCCGCCTCATGTGACTCGCCTGGGTGAATGTACACCAGCTGCAGCCTGTGCTTTGTAGGCGACCCATGTTATCATAATCCAGCGTAGCACGTGTTCGGGTCTGTAGTCTAGGCCCCGCCTCCGAGGGAGCGTGGTGAGGGCGGGGTGAGGGGCACAGCAGATGCGCACCGGCCGGACCTGGGCCAGAGGAGCACCGCCCTGGTGCATACGTGTTTCGCTGCTTCCCTGGGAAGGCGAGGACACGAGTACACACACAAGTGTACGCTACACCACCCCGACGTCGTCCCCGACCCTCAGAAAGCCCTGGGCTTGAGAAGGAGCACGCCACTGGTGATGCAGATGTTCCAGTTCCCGAGGACGGGGGCGGAAGGGGAGCGGCCCCCGGCGGGGAGGCGATGCGGCAACTCCCGCGAGCCTCCCGAAGAGCAGCAGACTGGTGATGCAGATGTTCCAGTTCCCGAGGACGGGGGCGGAAGGGGAGCGGCCCCCGGCGGGGAGGCGATGCGGCAACTCCCGCGAGCCTCCCGAAGAGCAGCAGACTGCGACGGCGACGGCGACCCGCCCTGCGCACCCCGCGGGTGCCGCGGGTCGGGGCCGAAGCACCCACACTCTGCAGCTGCAGGCGCCTCCACGGTGCGTCACGCCGCCAGCAGGGGGGGACGCGATGCCTTTGCAGACGGACGGGGCAGGGTGGGAATAGGAGGAGGGAGGAGGAGGAGGAGGAGGAGTAGGAGTAGGAGGAGGAGGAGGAGGAGGAGGAGGAGGAGGAATCTACGGGATCTGCTTCAGAGAGAGGCCGCGCGAGCAAAAAGTCTGTTCTGGGGCGCTCCACGCACCCTGCGCGGCCCGCCTCGACAGCGGGTGGACAGCGCCTCGCGCCGCACGGCCCGATGAGCGGTATGGTATCCTTTTCCTCCTCCGAGATTTTGAAAAGGAGGAGGAGGAGGAGGAGGGGGAGGAGGAGGAGGAGGGGGAGGATGAGGAGGAGGAGGAGGAGGAGGAGGAGGAGGAGGAGGAGGAGGAGGAGGGCAGCAAAAGTGCCCCCCAGCCATGCGGGAGGGGCCCTCGGTCGGGAGGGCCAGAGAACGTCAGGGGCACGGGAGGGCCCCAGACAGAAGAGCAGCCCTCAAGGACGCGAGGCCCTCCGCCGGCCCAAGCGCACAGAACGTCCAAGGGTACCCCCGCCCCAGGGTGCACAAGAGCATCCGACGAGCACGAAGAACATCAGGGTGCTCTCCCCGAGCCGACCTCGATCTTATACCTCGGTCCGACTCTACCCCATAACCCTTTTTGGGAGGGAACCGAAGTTAGGGGGACCAGAAACATGAAGGATAGGGGGTCATTTCTGCAGATGCATCAGACCAAGCTGCCCAGATGTCCTAGTGCGAAGACGGGGACCCAGGTGAGGTCACGTCTTCATCGTGCTATCAGGGTCAGGGGTTCTTTTGTTCTCGATGACCTCCCCTGCCATCTTGCTGGCTCCTGCGAGTCGACCCTGGCCGACGCCAATCGACGCCCATCGACCCCGCACAGACGCTATGGAAGAAGAAGTTTAGTGAACCGGCGCAATGGAAAATGGACTGCCTCGACTGGGATCGAGCGCTACGGCAAGGTCTCCGCTGTCTCCAGGGCAGTCGGGTGACCCAAACGCCCACCTGCTTGCGACTGAATCATCCTCCCTCCTCCTCGGTCCTCCTCCTCCTCCTCCTCCTCCTCCGGGCCTTTAGAATTCCGGCCCAACTGGCCTCCCCCCTGGCGTCAGGTCGGGCGTGTCTGAAGGGGCCCTGGGGCACACAAATCATACAACAGCAGGATGCCCCATGTCTTCCCACATTGTGGATTCTTGTCTTCCCCCCCACTTCCCACATTTTCCCATATTTTCATGGGAATCACGATTAATTGTGTCTGTGTGTGTTTTCCCCCATTCCCCCTCCTATGCAAATGTACTGCGCCGGAGAATTGTATTGCAAATGCAATCGTGCGTTGCATTTTTGCCAGCAATATCACGTGCGCCCCGGAATGCTCACAGCCAAATGTGTTGCAACCCCACAGATCGATTGCAAATCCATTGCACCACCATCTTGTCGATCGTCCCTGACATCACCCCTGCCTCCCATCTCCGGCGGCAATCCGTCCTCATGACGTGCTCCTCGTGCAGGTCGTGAAACCCGTCGGCCGCGCAATCGCCCCCTCGGCCGTAGAGGTCGAAAACGCCGCAGAGCGGCAGGAAGTGAAGTGCGCCTGTGTCCCGGGCACGCCAGGAAGCCGCGAGGTGCTGTTGGCTGTGCCTGGAGCCCATAGGGGGGCACGACTATCCCCTGACTTTCCCCAGGTGTACGCCAAGTGGCCGGGATCTCACGACATGCTCCGCTCGGACGATGTTCGACCGTCGTCGCAGCCGTCCACGTCGTGGCAGACTGCCACCTCTAGGAGCGGCAAAGGGGCATAACGAAGGCGACGACGACGACAGCGAAGAAACAGAGAAAGACTGAGGAGGAGGGAGAGCTGAACGAAGAGGGAGTAGGACTGAAGAAGAGGGAAGGGATGAAGGATGAGGAGGAGGAGGAGGCGGAGGAGGAGGAAGGGGACAAGGAACGGAAGAGCAGGGAGGAGGAGGAGGAGGAGGAGGAAAATGAGAAGGAAGGGGAGGGGAGGGGAGGAGAGGAGGACTAGAAAGGGAAGTAGTAGGTGCTGGGAGGAGCTTTCCCCAATTAGGCTTGCCTAGAGGGTTCTTACTTGGTTAAAGGCTGGTGTCTCGGGACGAAACTTTGCCCGTTGCCTGGAGGTTCCAGGGGTTCCTCGGGGTCCCCGTGTTCCTCGCCCTCGGTGCCTCCGATTCTTACGTTGCCCGATGCCCGGAGGTTCCCCGAGTGCCCTGGATTCCCCGGGTTCCTCGGGTTCCCAGGGTTCCTTGGGTTCTCTGGGGTTCCTCAGGTTCCTCGGGTTCCTCGGGGTCCTCGGGATCCTCGGGTTCCTCGGGTTCCCCGCAATGCCAAGCGATGCCAAGCAATGCCAAGCAATGCCAAGCAATGCGAAGCAATGCGAAGCAACGCCACGCAATGCCCCAAGCAATGCCCCAAGCAATGCCCCAAGCAATGCCCCAAGCAATGCCCCAAGCAGTGCCCCAAGCAGTGCCCCAAGCAATGCCCCAAGCAATGCCAAGCACTGCGCCAAGCACTGCGCCCATGCAGTGCGCCCATGCACTAGGAAGCTTTGCCCCAATGCTGGTCGCGCCGGGCTCGTGTTCTGATATCCACGGCCAGAGACCTCCTTGAACTAAGGGGACAACAAACCTACCTCGCTTTTGACCACCCTCGCTTCCAAGAGATACCAAACGCTTCCAAGGTATGGCTTGGTTTTGCCTGGAAGCGAAAGCGGGGTAGGTAATTCACGCTCTGATGAACGGGAAAAAGAGAAGGGGCTCGACTGAGGCCCCGTCCCTCTTCGGGTGGAGGCCTTTGCCGAGCCTTCTCCAGTTCTCGCACTCGCGTGGGTGAGCGAGAGGCTTACACTGTGCACCTAGCTTCGCGAGGCGCTCTCACGAAGTGAAAGCACCGCAGTGCCGACAGATGATGGATAAGAAGGATAAGAAGGGGAAGGACGAGAAGAAGTAGAAAATACATGGAAATGGAGAGAAAAAGGAGAAGAAGGATGGCGACGACGATGAGGAGGACAAGGTCGTGACAGCTGAACGGCTTGCGACTATATCCTCCCCCTCCTCGGACCCACACCTCCTCAAACCACCACTTCCTCCTCCTCCTCCTGTTCCTCATCCTACTCCTACCCAGTATCAACACCTCTCCTACTTCCCCCACCACGCATCATCGCAAACATCAGCATCTCCGTCATCAAAGACATCGTCATCATCATCATCATCATCATCATCATCATCATCATCATCATCATCATCATCATCATCATCATCATCATCATCATCATCATCATCATCATCATCATCATCATAAGCAACATCATCAGCAGCATCATCAGCATCATAATCATCAGCATCATCATCCTCATCAGCATCATGGCCGTCTCCATCGTCGTCGTCAACACCATCGTCATCGTCCTCGTCATTTTCGTCGCCAGCATGATCAACGTTCATCATCGTCCGTCATCAACAGCATCATCATCACCATCGTCAGAATCTTCGTCCGTATCATCGTCGGCATCATCATCACTATCATCGTCCTCATCAACATCACCATCATGCTCATGACCATCACCATTACCATCACCGTCATCATCGACGACAGAGGCGCGGAGGCGGCGAAGAGGACTTGTCCTGCAATCATCGACCTCGGTGAGGGTAACAAAAAACGCAGTGCTTGACGGATGAGTGCAGGTGCTTGCTGCATCTTGGCACACAAGTGCTGTTGCAGAGAGTGCTGCCCTTACTCGCTTGTGCTGGGCGCGCCATGCAGGGGGCTCTACGAGCGTCCAACCTGCGTACGTTCTTTCTCGCTCTCTCTCTCTCTCTCTCTCTTACTGTGTCTCTTTCTCTGTCATTGTTCTCCCTCCCCCTCTAGATATGTACATCGACTCTATGTACGTATGTATGTATACATGCGAGTTTATGCGTGTGTAAAATAAGTATTGCGGACGGATGCTGCTGCGACGACGCTGCTGCGACGACGACGACGACGGCGGAGGTGGCGGCGGCGGCGGCGGCGGTGGCAGCGGCGACGGACGACGGACGACGGACGACGGACGACGGACGACGGACGACGACGGCGACGACGACGACGACGAGCGCGTGCGACCGCGCCTTGGGCTCCTCAACGCCCATGAGCGCAACCGAGCCGTCCAAGGCCTCCCCGAGGAACAGGAAGTCGGTGCGGCCGCCGAAGTCGGCGCGGAACTCCTCCGTGGGCATGCGGTCGAGCCTGATCACGGCCGTGTGCGCGTCGATCTCAGCACCGAGGCCCGAGCCAGACATCGACCCCGACGCCCCGACGAGCGCACACCTCGCCAGATCGATCTTCTGCAGCAGGTGGTCCTGCCTGATCATGTCGACGGCACCCACCAGGCGGTCCCTCCCGACGGCCCCGGCGGGGGGCTCGGGGCCGAGAAGCTGCCTGGCAGTCTGGTCCATCACCCAGAGGTCGAACCCCTCGTGGGGAAACCAGAGGGTAACGATACCGCTGCTCCCTGGACCTCTCCCTGGCCAGAATTTCGAGGCGAATCCAGCGGTGGCGACGAGGGCCTCCCAGGAGGCCCAAGAAGAGGAAAACGAGGGAAAGGTGGCGGTATGGGTACCTCTCCCTCCTCTGACCTCGTCGTCCGCGCACTCGGCGACCTCGACCCACGAGCGCAGGTTGCAGGCCGTGACGTCCCTGCCGTGGCTGACGGCCACGCCCTCGCAGAGCGGGTGGTCCTGGCAGGCCAGCAGGCACTCGTCCAGCGCGAGGGGCTCCGCGGGGCTGGGCAACACGTCTGTGACCTTGACCTCCGCGCTGCCCTGGCCGGGGAAGCAGTTCTTGCGCTCGTGCAGCGCCCAGCCCACCCGCTCCCTCAGTTTCGCGACGCGGCCGCTGGTCGTGTTGTCACGCATCCAGGCGTCGAAGGTGAAGTCCTCCTGGCACGAGGAGAAGCTCACCTCCGTGCGCAGGCTGCACGGGCCGTTCAGACGCCCGGTCTCCACGACGACCCCGTCGCAGAAGTCGGTCTCCTGGCACAGCGCCAGGCACTTGTCCAGGTCGACGTGGCTCCCGTTCGAATCGCCCGTGCCGCCATCGGGGAAGCTTCCGCTGCCGTGGCGGTGGAAGCAGTTCCTGCTTGGGACCAGCGTCCAGTTGCCCCTGTCCGTGATGTCCGCGGCCGCCCGGATCTTCTCCGCCAGGGTCCTGTTGCGCTTCCCCTCCCCTGCGCCCGCGGCAGCAGCTCCGCCGCGGCCGTGCGACACGCCGCCGCCGCCGCCGGCCTCGGCCGCGGAGCTCTCGGGG